AGTCAGATAGAAAAATAAACTGTAGAGAGGGGCATTTTGCTAAATATATGCACCAAATAACATATTCATTATAAATTTAACTGTTCTTCAATGTTTAATTTATGTATGAATAAATCCATCAAGTTTTTATGACAGCCACCATTATGTTTATATATCAATTTCGAAAAATTGTTTTGTGGTCCAAGGTCACATATAGCTGCTCTGCCTATAGGTAGCACCGACCCTGCGCACATCATAAATCCGTCTTTTTGGCAAGTACCAGATAGTCTATGGGAGTAATGTAATAAAATATCTTTAATACAACTGAATTTGTATTTAACATGATCACAATTTAATAAAAGCAAACTACTAATTATAAAGCTTTAATTGCCATGGTTATTCAAACGGAATAAATACAGAAAGTGAGCAAAGAACCTTCACTATTATCAAAAACATTATCACTGACTTCAGTCTAGCCAGAGTTCAAGCTCTCAAAACTCCCATTATAATCACTGAAACTGTTTACACTGTGAAATGAATATCTTACATTAGTATGCACATCTGCACTTTGTTGTTTCTCATGAGAAAATTCACCAGAGAGCAGAATACAGTCAGCGAGCGCACGCACTGAACAAAACACCGGCGTTTCAGCGATGACTCATCTGAACGCCTCTGATTGGTCATTGCATTCATAAGCTCAACAGAATCGTGTGCGATTGGTTATAATGCGCAGCGCTGTAAAAAACGTGTCTGGCTCTGCGCCAGTCAGCCAATGCAGATTTGAATTTAGCAGCTGGTGATGTTTAACTGTTTTCCATTACTGCCACCTACAGGACAAACTGCGCATTGCACCCAAAATTTAGGGGGGCCAGGGGGGCAAGCTTGTTGACAAGCTTGTTGTCCTCGCCTCAAACACAACCCCCCGAAATTTAACCACTGATCCTTTGCAGCCTAATCTTTTAGAATTTAAAATAAAAGAATATACATTCACAGTGTAGGACACAGCGTCTTCTCGACATGATGTTAACCACACGAACAAGCTACACTGTTTGAGGGTGGGGTCAAGTTGTTTGTGCCCGGCCAACGTAGAACATAGGCGGGCATTATGCAAATGTGTTACCCTGTGACGTGTAGCTGTCACAGGAGTGGGATTCGAATTACTGACGACTCGTTTAGGCTGTTCAGAGTCGATTCTTTATTTTGGGAGACGATAACTTTATTTATCGTGCACTTTTAGCTTTACAACTTCGCAGATTGTTTACATTCACATACAGCTACTTTACACACTGCATGAAAGGCAATATTAAAAATGGCATAATGGGGTACTTTAAAACGAGTTAACAAAGAGTTAAAAAGCAGAAGAGAGCCAAATAATCTGAAGTAGATGGTGGACACGGGTCATTTAGCAAGGAAGTGGCACATCTACTGCCTCAGGCCCTGCGATGGATAATACAGCTGAGCTACATTAATGAAAGCTACAGTATATGTATCATGTTCTCACAGTCATCGCTATCTGTGTGCACAAGCCTACGTAAAGTCCTGAGAAACCACAACATACCGTCCTGTCACTTTAAGTTGGGCTCAATGCATTTTCTGTTCAAATCTTAGACTTTGTGCATTCTGACAGATATTAAAACATTCCTGGGATGTTATGGATGTGCATGTGTTATTTTTTGGGGACGGGGGAATTCCTTCCCTTTGAGGAGAGCCGCAGGAATGCAGGCCTGTCTCTTTCTCCTCTGTGTGGTTGTACCTTAGCTTGGAACTAAGCACGCTGTGAGCCTCCACACATTATCACTCACATGCAATAATATGAATTTCAAATGACACCTGGCTTGCTATTTTTAGACATTAATGTGTTAGTTTAGTCATTTTATGTTATAAAAATGTATTATTTAATTATTCATTAGGTATAGAGCTGCCTCCATTTTTCTGTTAGTAGTATAACCAAGGCAGTGCTGACAGATAATTTTGTTCCCTTTATTGGTGTCCTATAAAACACGAAAAGGAAAAACCAGTGTATGTTTCCCATCAATGCCTGGTCGCTGCTCAGAAAACCCTCCTTGTGCCCTAATTTGCCTCCTTAAGTGCCTGTGGCGAGTCCTTGATGATTTTTCGATCTGCATCTCAGTCCTCATCCAGGTCTGTGATGATGGTGGTGACATGTATAAGCACCGTTTACTGTAGGTACATAAACAAGTACATGAGCTACTGGAGAATGAATACATACATATACTAAGATATGACTATCACTAGATCTCTGCAGAGGCATCAGAGAGGTTATGGAATGAATGCGAGGTCTGCTGCTCCGTGTGCTGAGGAGTATGCACATCACGCTCTGTTAGAAGGGAAAAAATGGCCTGCAAACTGATCTGTAGTCCTCAGGGAGGGCAGAATCAGCACTGGCGCCTTCGGGATTTGGAATTGTGGCTGTGGATCCTGTGGATCAGATCAACTGATGAGCATAGTTAAAGTTCTAATTGGACCTGTACTGGTTTGATCATAACATGACAAAATAACAAAATTACCATAGTGGCACATAGAGTAGCATGCTGAATGTGAAATGTAAACCACCATTCATTTTATACTGGTGGGTTTTTCATGGATTTTTCTCATGCACACATTTACAGAAGACACCCACTAAAATGTCATTCAGTGTAACAATAGTTAATCTACCAAAATATTTTGTCAGGCATATTTAGAACCAGAATCATTAGATGTAATTAAAAGACTTCCAAAAAGTTAATAATTGTCATTTTAAATCTTTACCAATCTTTGCCACTATCCTTCAAACCACTATATATTTTAGGCATTTTTCTGTTTTTTTTTTTATTTAGTATGATCACTTATTGTTTTATATATTTTAATAAGTATGGGTCAGAATGAGAATAAGAATGTTGTTTAATTTTTACGTAAATATACCTGTTACTCTGTATGACAATGGAATATTATTTCGCCCATATTTTGACATTTTATTATTTATCACAAAAGTTATTTGAAACATTAAAGTAGACACTTTACTTCCATTTAATATGCTTTCTATGTATATAAAATCACTTTTGCAAATGTAATTTGATGCAGACACAAAAATGGGACGTCTCTTTGACCCATATATTTTTGTTACAGTAATTCACACTACTCTTCAAAAGTTTGGAGTCAGTAAGATTTTTTAAATCTTAGTTTTTGAAAGAAGTCTCTTATGCTTCACTTATGCCTCTTTTAATACAGTAAAAGGAATAATATTGTGAACTATTATTACAATTTAAAATAGCTGTTTTCTGTTTTAATATATTTAAAAATTCATTTTCTTAATCCAGTCCTCAGTGTCACATGATCTTTCAGAAATCATTATTAGGTGCTCAATAAACTTCATAATCTTATTGTTTTCAATGTTGAAAACTGCTTACTGTTTTTGTGGAAACATTTTCCATAAATAGGAAGTTCTAAAGAACAGCATTTATTTAAAAACTAAATCTTTTGTAACAATATAAATGTCTTTACTGTGACTTTGATGCATGCTTAAATAAAAGTATTACTTTCCTTCAAATACATTTTTACTGACTTCAAAATTGAATGGTAGTGTATATTTAAATGGTCGGTTTATTCATTCGTTGTTTGTTTAATGTTTGATATTGGATCTTTTTATTTTTTTATGATTGGACCATCTCAGATTATGTTACAATAATAAGTAATACAATAATAAAAAACTAAGATTTAAGATGAAGTCTGCACACTGCGTGGTGTGTTTGATTAGCGTGCTGTGGTCTGCATTGCTCTCCGCCCAGCTGTCTCTCTCTGTACCTGTGCGGATCTCTCGCTCTACCTCACCATACCTCTCTCTCTCTCTCTTGTTTTCTTTCCTTTTATTCTCTTTTCTTCTATGCCACAGACAGCTGTTACACTTAGGCTACAGTACACCTTGGGGAGACTTTCATCTAGTGTTTTTTTTTTATGACACTGCTTGAATGTGCAAAGGTTTTAATTAGCTCAATCCCAGACAGGCCCCAGGGCTGCAGCAGCGCCACTCTGTCTACTGCCTATGCCACTCTCTCACTCTCTCTCCACCTTCACCCGCTCTCTCGCCCTCTTCCTGTCCCCTTACAACTCCAGCACCTTCTGGCTTGTCCTGCTTGCCCTTTCATTCTATCTTTCTCTTTATATTTCACCTCCTTTTTCTCATTTTGTGTCCCCCTCAGCAAAACAAGCCGCTGTACTCCTTTGAGGATAATGCAGACTACGTCTACGATGTGATGTGGTCTCCCGTGCACCCCTCGCTCTTCGCCGCCGTGGACGGCATGGGTCGTCTGGATCTGTGGAACTTGAACAACGACACTGAGGTGAGGTAACGCTTTCGGTCTGGTCCCCCAGATCACGTCAGGCCAAAGATGCATCAAAACAACAACAAGTTCCTTTCTGTGTGGGCGTCTCCCCACAGGCCGCCCTTAAATCAGCTTTCTGACAGCTCCTCACAAACAGCTCGCACAACACTCCAGCGGCGTTCCTTTCCACAGACGCACACACACATAGTCTGCAAGCTTACGGCTAATTACTCCGATGTGTGCGGATTCCTCTCTCTCCACCATTCCAGAGTCAGTGAGTTCCCATGGGCTGCAGCCCAGCACAGCGGTTTAACCTGGTCTTCTAAAGCCACTGTCTTTCAAGACCTTCAGGGACTTAGGGACAATCACAGCTTTACTTATTATATAGGGCTGTGGTATACTGCAAAAAATATTTTAAATATTCTTCTAAACATTCATAAAACAAGACACATTTACTTGGGAAGCAAAATTGTTTAAGAAAATAAGACTTGTCTTCTATCAATATATATGTATAATTTTAAACATTATTTTATATTTTGTATATTTGTATAATTTTATACAATTCAATTATATGTACCATTTTTATTAGTTTTCATTTAAGTAAGTTTATTTTTCTCACTTCACTGGAAATAAGAATAACTTGTTTTAAACATTAACCTCATAAAATGTTGTTAGATGTTTACTTTAATATACAATTTTTTTATTGTAAAAAAATCAATAAAAACTATATAAATATATGAAAATAAAATTATATTAAAAATATATAATAATCAACTAATATTCAAGATACATCCTCTGAGAACAAAAAATATATATATAATCTAATATATAAATTATATTAAATATATAATAATATATTATTCAAGATATATTCTCTAAAAACAAAAAATAATTTGCCATTCAATTAAGAAAAATAAATACATTTGGATTATAAAAAATGAATAGAATTATTAAAAATTGTAAGTACAAAATAATTCAATATAAACCTCTGAAAAAAAGTCTTAATATCTAAAGCAGTTTTGCTCAATGATGTTTTTAAGGATGTTTAGATTTTTTTCAATCCTGATTCAACTTATTTTTGCAGTGTATTGGCATGCAGACTTTGTAGAACGGTGAGGTCATATTAACTGTCATATACTGGATCTAATAGTGCATGTCACTGATAATGGAGTGTCATCGTACATCACATGCTATGATGTTGTTTCATGTGACAGTTGACTTAGTGCTACATGGACCATTCACACAATACGTCAGTCTGTAATGGTGTACATGCCTCACCACAACGCAGAGTCCAGCGAGAGCTGTTGGGTGTTACGTCTCTCCTGTGTGAGATGAGATCTGCTCTGACTGACACTGCCTGTCCACTAAGGAATACACACCCACTTTAATTACATACTGCTCTGAGATCTGCTGTTCTCGACTCTATAGCCATCTCTCTCTAACCATACGCTGTGGGTTTGGTGGAAGGTAACCAATAAACAGCTCACTGATTATAAGTCACATGTACTAAAGTCAAATTGAAATCAAAACTGACCCTATTTACCTTCTAACATACGTTTCTGGTCTGACTGAATGATTCCTGGAAAATAATGTTTGTTAACGTAATCATTCATTATATATATATATATATATATATATATAC